TTGTGCAATACGCTACAGGCTAATGCCAGTAATGTGAACTTCTTAATTCGTTCCCAGTGCAGCAGCCAAACCCTGCAGTTCATTTGGCAGGATTTTACATTTAAGAGCTGAAAATAGAAGTCGTTTTGTTATCCATCAGCAAGATGATATCGCACAAAATAAACAAGAGATAATAAACTTGCTATCATTTAGTTAAGCATATTGCTCAAAGAAGCATTCCATTTCAGTCTCTCTTTGCACTATGATTAAATTAATATAAAATGACAGACCATTGAACAATGATCATATACATATTATTTATTGCATGCAAAGCATGCCCATTAACTCATAATCTAACTCTGACATTTAGTTACCCAAATCTCATATAAGATTTAGCAAGTAAATATAATCTCAAAAGCCATTTTTGAAACTTTTAAATCTGCAGCTATCATTAAATAATACTTGATGATCCTGCTATGAAGGACCTCGTTCACGGGCCTACTGTTAGAGGGTGACAATAACTGTCCCTGTATAGACAAATCTATTCAGCACCAGATGCTTAAAGCCACTATGTGGGAGTGCTCAGCTACCCGTAAAACAATATCAATATGAAGTCACAGCAGAAAGTATAAGACAAATAGTGAAAAGTGCACGTGGAGCATGTTTTTTTTGTTTTGTTATACTTTCTGCTGTGACCTCAATAAATTGTTAAGATTTTGGAGTGCTGGCTATTTCTGTTTTTTGAACACCCTGCCCCATTACCCATTTCTACTTGTGCATTATCTCCCTGTCACATGGGCTTCCAAGAATAAGGGCCTATGTGAATGGGTTTGAGTTTGATGGTTGTGTATTCCCGTAAGTGTCTATGGGAATAGAAAGGTCTATGGCAATGTAAAACCTGCTTGATGCAGGTCAGAAGGAGGTCAACTGCAAGTAAAATGCAAATGTCAATAAATTCTAAATGATCATGGAAGCATCTTAAACTTATGCCGTAGACAAAGCCGAAAGTCCGTCGATACAGGCCCTAAATGTTGCCATTGTAACAGTGTCAGCATAGCTCCAGCAAGGATGTGGCAGCATGAGCTAACGCAATTTGGGACACAGATGGCCGTAAGATAAGATATGTTTTCCATATTTTCTCCAACTGATCTAAGACCACTAATAATTAGGGGAAGAGGGGAATTATTGCTGGCCACTCCCCTGATTACCAAAGATTGGGGGAAATGTGAAATAATTGCTGGCTACCGTAAAAACCATCAATGATTGTACTGACACTGGAAATTAAATAGGCAGGGCTGACACCACATGCTAATGAATGCAGAGCCATGCTTTCATGTCAAAGGGGAAGGTACGGGCTATATTTCTGGCATATAAACAGTTATTTTCTGTATTTGCAGTCTGTTTGAATGGATAAAGCATGGGAAAATGTGCATGTATTCCAGAGATGTACTAAATATGATTGATTTTGCCTTGACATACACTTTAGGTAGTGAGGTTGAATTAGCCATAATAAATTCAGTGCTCCCTCCAGTGGTTATTCCACAAATCTGTCTAGCTAGTAGTAATTAGTCACATTCAACTTGACATGTTCTGTAATGTTGAAGGACGTTTGCAGCTTATCCAAACCACTTATTCAGTTTTATTGCATTAGAACAGAAGTAGCTGCTTGTATAAGCTGCAAAATGTCCTTATGATTACAGAACAAGTCCAGCTGAATGTGACTAACTATTAATAGCCATACCATAACCTGAATAAATGAGATTCTACAAAAGACAAATAGGCACACATCTATATTAGAATATATTTGTATTATATTCCATGATTCTTTTATAATCTAATTGATTTAACTCCACTTTAACCACGGGCCTCTGTTATCTGACACAATTAGGGCTTATGTAGAAAGGCTTGTTTCTGTGCATTTTACCTTCATTTGAAATGCACATCAAACGCAGGTCAGCTTCACTGGTGTAGTGGAAATGACAATTCTAAACTACGTTTGACCTGCTTTGTGTTGCATTTCTTTTTGCGGCATGCCCTATTTTAATGCATTTTCAAAGCAGGTCAAAGGCAGCCTTTTGCTGCATCTACTGTTTGAACACATGCATTTCAGCAGCCCTGAATTCATATTTAAAATGTACCATTTGACAACTTCACTTGTCTATATTAGCCCTTTTACATTCTAACGGGTTTGGGGGTAATGTGTGAGGTCAGGCAGCTGACAGGAGACCTCTGACCATAGATGCTCGAAATGAAAGTCAGGCTCAGCTAAATATTAGGAAAAATATAATTATCTAAAAATATGCCTGTACAATGATTAGAACTGAAGACAGAATATTCAGATTTATAAGACCACTTATGACTGGTTCTCTTCAAGTTGTGTTTACAGCTTCTCAACAGGAGATCACATTCAGAGGGGAATTTATCAAAACTGGAGCAGGCAAAATGTGGAGCAGATGTGCATGGCAACCAATCAGCTTCTCTCTTTTATTTTCAAATCTGAACTGAATTTTTGCAGATGGCTAGAGACAAAAAATACCGTATACAGGGACTGTCCTTCTTTCCTCCACAGTTGTCCCTCTTTTTGGTCTCTTGTACAGATATCTATAAACAATGTTCTATTAAATTACCAAGAGTGTTATTCAGCACTAAAACCTTTATCCTATTTCTTAATTCGCTTGTTTGCTCTTTTAAAAAGCCAGTATAACGGAAAAGTAAAGGTGAAAGGAAATTCTAGGTTTAACCAATCATTTTTGACATAAAAGGAATTAAAAAAAGAAGCATAACTAGGGGCGTGGCAGGGGTGTGTCCATTTCCTAAATACTGAGGGGGGAATTTATGAAAACTGTAGCAGACAAAGGTGTACGTTTAATAAACTGTGAAAGAGTGTGATAAGCAGTGAGAAGGCTTTTCTCACCTTAGCAAAGTGAAAAGTCTAGAAAATGCTGTTTAATAACCCGAGATAAGTCAGGTAGGAACAGAAATATCTCACCTCTTCTCATCCTGGTGATAAGTACACAGAAAGTAATGGGAATGTACCTGTTTAATAAAGGGAGAAAAGTAGAGAACAGCTTTATCACGAGATAAGTATTGTGAAAAGTACCCTTGATTTAGCACCCTGTCAGACCTCGTGCTAAAGGCCTTTTTCTCGAGAAGCACTGAGCAAAGATACAGGAACCTCCTCAAGGAATACATTCCCCACATTGCTTTCTTAACTGATCACTGAGATAACTTATCTCAGCCTTTCACAGCTGTTACGTGAGATAAGTTTTCTTTTCGCAGGTTATTAAACAGCCTCTGTGCAGCCGGGAAAAACAAAGAGATCTGCTGAGTAAAGTTAACTCGTGATAAAGCTAGTTTTGTCACAGTTTATTAAACGTGCACCAAAATCTGGAGCAGCTGTGCATGGTATACAATCATCATTTCTCTTCAGTTGGTTCAGTTAAGATTTGAAAATGAAAGAGAGACGCTGATTGGTTGCCATGCACAGCTGCTCCAGATTTTTGCTCCAGTTTTGATACATTCCCTTCATTGTGCTGGAAGGTGTCCCTCTTTTCCATCTCAGAAAGTTGGGAGGTATGAATACCGTGTTTTACAAACAAGGTCTAAAACACTTCTGTCCCTCTGTTAATAATTCTATCATTTATAAAACATCAGAGGGAAAGACAGATATTTAAACATATTGTGAGCGTTCTGCGACAGGCTGGCGTGAGATTTGTTTCTTTGCTTGTATACGTCTGCCTTGTAAGCTATAATCAGTCCTAGAGCCTTGCAAATATTTGTGCAATGATATGAAGCTCTCTCTGTTGCCAGGTCCCATCCCACACACCATGTGCATATCATATGCACAAAAATCAGAATGAAAATCTGTACTGCAGAAACATTTAGTCCGCCATTGCTAACCTCTCTTTCTGAAAATGCTAGTTCCCTGATTGTCAGTGTGATCCTATTTTATTCAGCATTTTCTGAATCACCGACCAAAATCAATTATGAAGACCAGGAATTCTAATTTGACTGTATAGAGCTGACTTTAAAAGAGGTTGCTTGGCATTACTGATGCTACATGGAGCCAAGGAGCATAGGAAATGTTCACCATTTCATCTAATGGCAATAATATTGTGCAAACTGTACCCTGGATGAACCCTTTAAAAAAAAAAAACAGCCCCTTATGTGTCTTCTTGGTCAAAAACTCAAAATCTATCGAAGAAATTAGCATTTTCACAAGAATCTCAGAAAAGTCAGCCTCTATATTTCTCTCAGTGCAGACCTCTTTAAAATGCTGAGAGTGTGTCTCTGCCACACCTAGACATCTCTGGTATCAGGTATACAAGAATGTATTGAGCCATATGGCTAATAACATGAAACCTTTAAATGAATTGCTTTGTGTGCAGTCTCTATTCAGTTCTATAGCTCCCCCAGCTGGGCTTCACCTCCTGGGAAAGCCTGAAGACTAATCTACCAAGTGTAAAATTAGTGTAATAGAAAGCTGTTGTGCTTCATTACATCATGATAAAGGCACTGCACAGATAATAAACCCTATGGTGACTGTGCATCTGTACCCCCACATGCTTCATTTACTTTATGATGTGCACTCTCTTATTTTTTTCTATATTTTCTCCACAAGTGTTAATGTACGTAGTGTACAGACACATACTGTATAGCTAAAATTGTATCTCTTCAGTACTGTATGATAAACAGCCTCCATTCTTTAAAGTATATTTTTGCAGAAGACAAAGTGCAAGACAGTACATTGTACGTAATAATATTAATGACCAAATCAAAACTTCAATATTTATTACACCAGGATTCCAAAAATAGTATTACATTTTACCGTGGCAAGATGTTTTATGCATTTTTGTTACATATACATTATTATTATTATATAACTTCAAAATGATACTTATATTTTTTTTATAATGATGTTTTTAAAATTGTAATTGATTTAATTTATTTTTCCAGTATAAAATGAGTGCTTTACTTCCACCACCTTCTGGTAAGAAGTCAGCAATGAACGGCCACCTCTATGTCCCCTTATAGGTCCTTAACCTTGCGTGCTAGGATAAAAATGCCAGAGGTATGATTGCAGATATCAAACATGGGTTTATCAAACTCTCTAGACAGAACTTCAAGGTCTTCAATGACAAAGCCTGTATCTGTTACCACTTTCCTAAGGAAAGCCTCACTCAGATTTATGAGAGAGAACTGACTGTTTCCACATCTAAATATGGTGCTACCTAATATACTACCAATGATTAGATGACCTCCCACTTTTATTAGAGAGGAGAGGTTTTTAATAACATTTCCATACGCCTTTTCATCTTTGCAGGCACATTCCAGGCAGCCAATGGTCAGGACACAGTCCACTTTAGGTAAGACAAGTGGATGGAGAGGATTACTCTTGGTCACATCACAAGGTACCACTTTCTTCAGGGTCTTCCGCAACTTCTCCTCCTTCTCAGCCAGCTTTCCACTACAGAAATAAAAAGTGAATTCATGCGTAAGAAATTAGTTTGCTGTGTTGGGCAAACCAACTTTAATGCTATGCATTCTATTAAGCTCCCAACTGGCCATTTGAAATAAGTGAATAACTGAAAATCCATTCTACCTGCTATTTGCTTAACCTCTTGCCGTCCGCCCGTAGTAAAAAAACGGACGGACGGCACTGCAGCATCTGCGGGTTGCCGTCTCCAGACGGCAATTTTTTTCTGCTCGCGCGCGCCCCCTAGCGGGCACGCACGGGCAGAAAAGACCCAAAACCCCCAGTGGTGAATAAATACCACCAAAAGAAAGCTCTATCTGTCCCCAAAAAAGGGTATAAAATTCATTTCAGTACAGCGCTGCATGACGGAATAAATGTCAGTTAAAGTACCGCAGCGCTGAATACTGAAAAATGGCCTGGATGGGAAGGGGGTTTAACACCGCGGATGTCAACTGGTTAATTTGCACTTATTAGCTCCTACCTCCTACCCAGTTATAAGGTTTAAGCTACCCCTGCTTAGCTACTATTAACATGTAAGCCCTTCTGCTTTGAGTGGGTGCTGCAAAAGGTGGGTCACCCAGAAAAATTGTATCGCCTGATTAGAAAAGGGGAAAAAAATATTCCTGTCCCAGTATATTAGTAAAGGGGGACCTTCAGATCCCTTACCTGTTCATCACAACACAAGTGAAAGTAATAAGCAAAAGTTCAAAAACAGATTTAAACATAAATGTTATAAAAATAGATGATTAATCCAATCACCTTCATTACCTGTTGTTTAAACTGCTTAAAAAAATGTATATGTATAGAAACCCACATTGAACAATATCAAGTCAGCGGTTGCTCCATGCTGATCGAAATACACTTACTGTCATCTGGGATTCCTGAATAATATAAGCCATCTAAAACAAACATTTTATATAGTACAGTTTACCAGTCCTTAGATGTGGTGGCTGCATCAGATTTCTGTTTTCCCCTTTATTTTCAACTAGTGGTACTGCCAGCAACACACTAAGGGGTCTATTTATAAGCAATTCACATAGTCGTTTGTCCTGGGAATATCTGTGAACGTTTACTCTGTGCTAATAATATCCCAAATGAACGTTCTTTAGTTTTTCTCCTTAGAAGTGCAATGGATTTTGGAATATCTTTATGTAATATCACACTATAGCCACTAGATGGGCCTAAAGGAGCATAGGAAATATGCTTTCAATTTTCATGTTCCTTAGAGCCATCTGGTGGTCATAATGTGGTATCACACAGAAAAACATCTAAAAAACATTGCAAGAATCAGCTTAAAGTGACATTAAACCCTCAGATTTTTTTTAACATAAACCAATACTGTAATGTGTGCCTTACTGTAATCCATGGTTGTTTCCCTTCTCTTTGCTGCTCTTCCTTTTAAATCCTCATGTCTTTTCATTCTGGGGGAGAACTTCCCTTTGCAGCTGAGTGCCTCTTCCTGTAGTGCTGGCTCAGGTTGCAAACCTACACACAGACACCATGTATCCATTTCAGAGACAAGGCAGTCTGCTGCAAAACAGAAGTTCTGCCCAGCATGAGAACAGATACAGATTTAAAAGGAAGAGCAGCAGAGAAGGGAAACAACCATGGATTACAGTAAGGCACACACTACAGTATTGTTTTATGTTAAAACATCTGAGGTTTTAATATTCACTTTAAGAACTTTTATTTTGGCATAAATCCAAAAAGCATGAAAGTTCCCAGATATTCACAGGGCAAAGGAGCCTGCAGATAGTTTATAAATTGAACCCTGGTGGTTCAAATGTGACAATCACTGTACTGTATTAGAATAACAGTTATCAGCAGACAAGATATATGGCAACAGATGTTATATTGTACATATAGGACAGATAATACTGCATGCTTTCACTGGTATATTTAATAGATAAAAAGGAACCCAGTAGGAGAAATTAATTGTTAGGGTTTGCACGCCCTTTAAGCTACATTTACTTTCATACCTGCGACCTTCTAGATCACAAACAAGCTTCAAAGCTGGTGTCCAGTCGAACAGCCCTGGCTCATTCTTCCTCCATCTCTCCAGGTATTCTCTGTTGCGATCAGTGTAATCGGCTGCTGTAATCTCCTTAAAAGCCTCGCAGGCAGACAGTTCTTGGTAAATAGCAGGGCCAGGACCAATATCAATCATCGACTCCCCTCTAACGCCACCTTGTGCAACAGAACAAAAATATAAATGTGGCACCCAAAAGAAATGAGTGAAATTTCAAATATAGGTTATTCAATATAGTCTCGGGTTTATAAAAGCACAAATAATAACACAATTTAGCACAAACAAGTGAGACCCAACTTATATGAGAACTCTGCCCAGGGAGAATTTAAATTTTAGGACAAGATGTGTAACTTACCTGAATGATTCGATAATTGAAGTAAACACATTTTTGTTTTATTTGCTAAGCTAAGTGAACAATCTCAACTTCTTTAGTAAATCAACCCCAGTGAGAATGATTATCTGTTTCCTGTATTTATATATGAAGCTTTGCTGTTCTCTGCCCCAGATGGAGCTTTCAATTAGCTGTTCCTCCTAGATTCTTACACACCTTAAGTCCGATGAACTTACCTTCTACCAGTATGTTTTTGGGTTTTCAGACGAAACTAGAGGACACCCATACAAACACGGGAGAACATACCACCTCTATACAAATATCCTGGTGTAAAATCCCTGGTGTCATTTGAAGAAAGGGCCTAATGTTGCAAGACAAGGCTGCTTTCCACCATGTTATTCATTAATATGATGTCAGTGGTTCACAATCTAGATAGCTGGCCCACGTCAGTCACTGGTAAAAGGGAGGGGCGGTACTCTCTAATTTATTGGATAACTAAATATAGATTTCAATATAAGTCCTTAGTTTAAACTGGCAGGCACATTACACATACCATATAAAGCCAACAAATACAAAAACATCAAAACAATACAATGTGGTCAGCAATACTTACAGAATGCTTGTTTAAGCCTTGTGTATAATATAAATATGATAATGCATGTGTAAAATTGCATCACCTTTGCATTACCTGTAGTGAAAGTTTTATGCAGTTTTTTCAAAATGAAGTCCAGGTAGCCATCTTTAATAAAGACCCCTGTCACAGCACCATAGTAGGTTTCTAAGTAGACCTGAGGATCAAAGCTTTGTTGGTAGATCTGAGGACCAGTGAAGCCAGCTGCCATTGTTAGGTGGTAGTAGTTCTAGAAGTATGTGACAGTGCATGTGCTGGATAGTTCCTTTTATTCACCTCTCCAAGCATCTATCAAATGGGCTGGTCCTAGTAAAGCTGTTAATAAGTAAATACACTGGCATATTTAGATAGAGGATGCCAGTGGATGTAGTATATCTAAATTTTGCTAAGGCATTTATCATGGTACCTCATAAACTTATACTTTACAAAATAAGTTCTACTGGTGTAGAAGAAATTATATGTACACATGGATAGAAAACTGGTTACTGGAATGTGCCCAGAGAGTATTATTGAATGACTCATTTTCTAAATGGACTACCATTGTTAGTAGAGTGTCCCAGGGCTCTGTCTTGGAGTCAATGCTATTTACCTTGTTTAATATTAATATTGAGGTTGGAAATGTGTGTTCGACTTCAGTGTTTGCTGATGATACTAAATTATGGAGGGAATGGAGATGTAAATTTTATTTCATTCTGAATGGATATTCGTACAACTTTCGTTACATTTGAATACTCGGATGCATCCGAATTTCCGAATTCCAACATGTCCCAGTGCAAACTAATCCAAATGGTCGATTAATGAAAATTCGTATCGGTCCAAAGTTCATTCACAATGAAACTAAATCAGACATGTGACTGTTCTATGGCGAATCAGATGTTTTTTTGGCTTTTGGGGGTTACATTACAGGCACGGTTATGTGACTTCCTGTTGTGGATCTTTGCGGAATGAAAATTTGGATGGATCTGAAATTCAAATAACAAATCAAATTTTGCATCCGAAATCTGAATAAAAAACGGAATCGGATTTCAGACCTGAAATCTGAAAAATGAAAGAAATAGAAATTCCAATTAGATCCAAAATAAACATTTTTTTTGAAGGGTCACATGTCTAGTAAGGAAATACATTCGGCAGAAGATGTACCATTACTGCAGGAAGACCTAGTCAAAATAGGGGGATAGGCAGCTACATGGCAGATGAGGTTCATTATTGACTTATGCAAAGTTATGCACTTGGCAGTTAAAAATATGCATGCAACATACTCTTTAGAGGGGCTACTCTTGGCGAATCTATGATGCAAAGTGATTTGGGGGTTCTTTTAGATCAGAGACTTAGCAACAGCATGCAGTGCCAATCTGCAGCTAACAACCAGCAGAATACTCTCTTGTATTAAAAAGGCCATATATTAAAAAAATAAATCAATAATTCTACCCCTTTTTAAACACTGCTTCAGCCTCATCTTGATAATGCAGTTCAGTTTTGGTCACTTTTCCACAGGAAAGATGTTCTTGAAGTAGAAAGAGTTCAGCGAAGAGCAACAAAATTAATAATTGGGCATGAATGGAGGGCATTAGGTTACATCTATTACATGTAGAGACAATTTAATTAAGGGAGATATGAGCACAATGTATACATTAATCAAAGGAGATTTAATAAACTGTAATAATTGTTTTACTATAAGGCCCCTAAAGAAGACATGTGGCCAAGATTGGACAAAAATAGGTTTAATCAATCATGCGTCCTGCTCCTGGTCACACACAAATACAGTATAATTGAACTCCACTGCAATTGTACTATTTATTTATTTATTTTATTTTATTTTGTATTTATTTTTCTATTTTGTCCACTTTGTCGCACCTGGAAGGTTCCACCATTACCTCACATTGCAACTATGCATCCTTCTCCTTGTTACACACATCTCTCCTACCTAGCCATCATTTAGTCTTCTCCTTCCTCTCAGCTGATGGGTTCCATATATTTAATGCATTTTTTTGGATATTCCTCCTAACAACAACCACTCCCGTTCACCAACGACTATTTTTTTGGCTCCTACCAATTTGCATTCCAATTTAAAATACGTGTTTCTGTTTACATATAATCTCTTAAGATTCCTCCGCCACAATCTCGGTTTTTTTTCCTGCTCCCTTAGCCCCTCCCACTGTCAAATTCCTAAATTATTCTCGCCAAAATTGCTGTCACTTTTTGGCTTGAGAAAGAGGTGCTAGTCCGTATAACGCATTGCCATCTCACTGAGTCCCCTTCTACCATTTCCCCTCACCCTCTCCATGGCAGTAGTCCCACACACCTCCTCACAGCATCTTACATAGGTCATCTCCTCTGATGGGACATCACCCACACCATCCGCTCCTCCTCCCTGACCGGCTGGTTAGTGTCCTCTGCCAGCAACTCCTCAGTGACTGCCACCTGAGCCGGGTCCCGTCTGGCTTCCCATCGGGACCGCTCTCTACCGCCAGGACTGGACCTAACACCGTAGAGTGACCATCACTGTGGCATCAGGTACATGGACCTCTCCAGCTCTGGATGGAAGGGGCCTGTGAAGGGTTCTGCTGCAGCACACATCATCCATCTTGAGAGGCATCATTCTCCTGATAGCAGGATACGCTCCAGCCTGAAATGACTACCACACGCGCTGTTACACATTGCTGTTCTGCACCCATGGCCTTGGTCACATTGTCTCTAAGTTGTTTTTCCACCACACACATGTGAGTGAAACATTGTCCCTTTCATATATCCCCCCTCATCCGCCAGTTTTCATTGTGCTAGGTGGTGGGGCTCTTGTTGCTTTTTTCTCTTTCAGTTTTACCTCCTGGTTGTGGTGGTCCACGTCTCTGATTGCCAATAATGTCCCCTCAAGGATTTCAGCAAACATTGACTTCTCTGAGGAATCCTTCACACCTAATTTATGGCATGGTGCTTTAACAAGCTTGTACTAAGGTAGCCCTTAATAGATGCCAATGCACCACAATGCCACAAAAACTGGAACTAAAGCAAATTTCTAATGCAATGCATGTTATGTGTGTCATGCTGCAATGCAGCTCCATTAGCATCAACAATACTTTTGTGTTGGGGAACCACAACACAAAACACACAATTTTACTGTGTGTTAGAGCAACACATAACTGTGAAGCCGGCCCCAGAGGCCATTCTTGTGCTCAGCTATGGGTGACCCCATCCCCATTAATCAGTGGCTGGGCTTAGTGAATGGCAGCTCAGGCACAGAGCAAACCATTGTGCATCGGCAGAGGTGTGCAGCAATTGTGTCCTATATTCAGAATTACCAGAACTTTGATAATGCACTGGTGGTGATCTGGGCACCTGGACAGGATATAGCTATACTGGGAGGGGGTTAATGATTGAGGTTTTTTTTTTTTTAGTTTAGTTGTGCTGTAAGGTTAACAGGTAAAGTAATTCCAGTGCATCCAGGGACAATGGCTTTTCCAAACAAGCTTGTTAAACCTTTCAAATTGCTGCAACACATAAGGTGAAAACCCTTTTACAATATTTTTGACCTGTTACAGATTAGTCAAACATTGCACAATTTGTGCACATCTTTATCTTTTGGCTTACATTAATTGGCAGTGTCCTGTAGATCAGTATCAATGACAGTCTGGGTGAGAGCTCATTCAGCACTTGTCAGGCAGATAATAGGTATTGCCATAATGCAGTTGAAGGGGAGAAAATCTTGCATGACATCTAAATAACCTATACAAAATGAACATGTTTTACTGAATTCAATTTAAAAATGGCATTTATGTTCTGATAGGAATAATAACACTATCTTGTAAATGTAACGGCACTTTTGTCTGTTTTGTGTTACTTTCAGAATAGTAAAAAGACTCTAGTCCAGGGGTCTCAAACTCAATTCACTTGGGGGCTACTGGTCAAAAGCTTTAGAACACCCCCATTTTTCCATCTTTTATTGAAATGTAAGCAGTTCAAGTCAACTGAATAACCTGAAATGGTACAAAGGTAAGCAGTAAACTGCCAGAGATGATAAAGAGTTTAGGTTAAAACGAAAAAATAACGTACTTTCCAGAGTTATACAAAAAGGCCCTTTTCAGGGAGGAAGCAATAGGCTAACAACTTACAGTTGTTCTGCAGCAATGTTTTTGTACGCCATTGAATAGGCAAAAGGATGGTTCCTCAATGTGTGACACCAACTGTCAAACATTGAAGAGGAAGCATGATGGAGGAAGATCCAGAGTCGGCGACTTGCACAAAGCCAAAGCTATTAACACAGCATTTTGCAGCACCATACAATACCCTCCGGTGTATGTTTAGTTGGTCCGGGGTTCATCCTACTGCAAGAAAATGACCCAAAACATACCTCCAAGCTGTGTCAGAACTACCTTAGAAGAAAAGAACAAGACAGCAGGCTTCAAATCATGGAATGGTCTGCAGTCTCCAGACTTGAACCCTATGCAGCTGGTTTGGGATGAACTGGACAGAAAGGTGAAAGCAAAGCATCCTACAAGTGTAACATATTTTTGGAAACTTCTGCAATAGTGTTTGTAAGAACTTTCTGAATAATATTAATTTTCCATTGGAGAAAGAATGTCACAAGTGTGTTCGACTGTTTTATCTGCAAAGGCTGGCTATTTGATGAGTCAAAAATTTACATTCCATTTTGTTAAAGAAAACAATTCCATGATTTCATTTGGAAGTCCAATTGTTTATTTGTTCTATGCTTTATTTTTCAGAGTACATTGAGGCATTAAACTGCATACATTTCAATAAAAACTGGAAAAATGGGAGTGTTCCAAAACTTTTGACCAGTAGTGTATGTGTTTGTGATGGTTTCTTTGTATGCAATGTCAGTATATTTTTTTGTGATGCTTTGTGTGTGTCTATTGTCAGTGATGTCGTTATGTGTGTTAATGTTTCTGTGTGTGTCATATCAGTATCTATACATACATTTTTATAAGTGTGTACTGTCAGTTTACAGTATGGGTGTGTTTTTTTCACAGGTTTTAATTTTAATCATAGAGGCCAAACAGATTCACACATTCACTGATACATAGAAATACGCATACACACAGAAATATGCACACAGGGAAATACGTAAATTCAAACACAATAACACACACACAGAGAACCCCCCCAAACACACACACACTAATACACAGCAAAACCCCCCTATCCCTACACACACACACACACACACACAGAAATGCACATACACACACAGTTACA